TCGGTACCGGAGCCGGTGGCCGCGGTTTGATCGCCGCTTTGCTACGAGATTTACTGGGTTTTGAGTGACCGGTCGTCCCCTCCGACATGGGGACCCGTCGTGGATGCCCAAAACACTCCACGAAACACAAACACGGCCCCCGTTACCGAAACTTTTCTGGGAATATCCTTCATCCCCCCGCCGAGAGCAGCGCACCGAGGGGCCACGGGCAGAGGGGACGGGCCTGGGATTCCCTGCAGAAAACGAGATAAAGAGCAAAAATGCAGAGGGGAAAAAAAAATAAAAATAAAACCCTCTGCGTTTCAAGTCGTTTTCTCTTTCCCCGTGTTTCCATCCCGTCCCGGCTGCGGGTGTACCCCTGTGCCGGGGTCCCCCCTCACGGGGGACACGCGAACGAGGTGGCAAAAAATTTACAAACGAGGCTTAAAACGAGGTTTAATTTTTTTGTTGTTGTTGTTTCCTTTCTTTCTTTCTTTAAAAATATTTACAGATCTGAAATAACGCTTTTTTAATTATTTTTTTTTCTTTTCAAGTGGCAGGATAGCAAGAGGGGGCTCTCTGTTCGCCCGTCCCTCCCCATCAGTTCGGTTCCTGTGTCCCCGCCGCGGGGGCGGCCCGAGACCCCGCACGGAGCCCCCGCGGCGGCTCCAGTCCTGCTCCTGGTCCTGGTGCCGGTTCCGACGGGGCGGGCGGGGCAGAGGCTCAATAGTCGATCTTGTTGTAGAGGTTGTAGAGCGGTAAGGCCGAGAGATTGCTGCCGGGGTAGTAGAGAGGGGCGGGGAAGGCGATGGACCGGGGCACCGGCACTCGCAGGAGGGAATTGTCCCTGAACACCAGCGGCATCCCCACCAGAGTCTGCGCCGAGGCGTGGGCCATGTTGGCCGCCTCCAGCTCGGCCGAGAGCTGCCGTTTCCACTTGTTCCTGCGGTTCTGGAACCAAGTCTTCACCTGGGTCTCGGTAAGCTGCAGGCTGGAGGCCAGGCAAGCCCGCTCCGAGCTGCTCAGGTAGCGCTTCATGTCGAAGGTGGACTCCAGCTGGTAGACCTGGCTGCGGCTGAACACCGTGCGCGTCTTCTTCTTGGCGGCGCCGGCCTGCCGGTCCCCGCCGTCGCGCTGCCGGTCCCCGCAGGAGGGCGAGGAGGG